ACTGCTTCTCAGGGCCCCTTCCAGATAAGCTGCCAACCATGGGATGCCATTATCCTCCTTCTCACTGTGTTTCACTGGAATCAGGTGAGAGCCTGGTGTCCTCAGAGTTGCAGCACGGTATCAAAGTGTGGACATCCAGGACTCCTGGAAAGCAATAGCCACATTGATAGGACAAACTAGGTTTCATCTTTCACCTCCAACCCACTGGTAGAGACTGCCTGGAATGCTGGGTTGAGAAGGATTCTGAGGCCAAGTCTAGGCTTAGAAGAGAGAACTCTCATGATGGAATGGTGACAACAACCGTGGCTGTAGATGGGACAACTTCCACACTGCTATTTCTATGATGGATCTTGGAAGCTTCCGGTCCACAGCTTGTTGGTGAAGGGAAGTTTGTTGCTCACACCCTCACAGCACAAGAAAACTGTCATTCCAGCTTTTACTGGACTTTGATCTTTCATGTGATAAATAACTTCTGAGCCAGCCAAAGCCCTCTTGGAACCCTCTTCATGAAGAATTTGTCCTTGTTTTCAGAGCATGCACATGGATGACTCATTGATATGAGGCACTCAAGTCAACAGTGGGCACTTCACTTTATCCAAAGCTTACATTTATCCCCCATCCCTCTACCAGCACTCATCACTGCCCAAAAGACCCCATGAGGACCATAAAGAGGTGAAAACACAAAGCCATTCTGAGCAGATGCTGGACAACCAGCAGAGATCATCCCTAGTCAAGGGTCCTGCTCCCTGCCCCTCCCACATCAGCTTGGGTCACTTGAGAATAATAAAAACTTGGAATCTTAAATCCTCAAATGGATTTGCAGTGCAGGCAAGGATAAGAGGGGCACAGAGCCCATCCCCCTTGGCAGTGGAGCCAACCTCTGTCCTCATGTGCTTCGGGGCATGTGACCTAGTTCATCCCACTGATGTGTGGCCGTGGATGTTGTCTTAGCCCAGGGGTCAGCAAACTTTTTTCTGTAAAGGGCCAGAAAAAAATATTTTTTGCTTCATAGTTTCTGTTGTAACCATTCAACTCTGCTGCTGGAGTACAAAAGCAGTCAGAGACATGTGTAAACTAGAGCACATGCTGCATTAAAAAATAGCAGGTGTGGTGGCACACGCCTGTAATTCCAGTAACTCAGGAGCCTCAGGCGGGAAGATTGCAAGGTCAATGTCAAGCTTGGCTATTTAGCCAGGACCTAAGCAGCCTAGTGAGTCCCTGTCTCAAAATAAAACATAAAAAGGGATATGGTAAAGCATCCCTAGGTTCAATCCCAAGTACCAAAACAAACAAAAACCCAAAATTCAATAACACATGCACACAACAAAAAAATCTAGAAATTTGACAAAAATAGGGGGTAGGTCATGTTTGGTACAAGAGCCCCTCATTTATCAAATTCTTCATTTGCTCAAACCAGGGGTCTTCAAACAAGGTTCCACCAAATTTGGGATTGTTTGAAAGTGCCCCAGGGATCTGCAAATCTTTGGCTCTGATTTAAATTGATTTTCAGCTATTTATGAATCTATAACCACAATCTGCCCAGTCAGATGTATTCCAGCAGTTCCACATGCAGGAAATCAACATGTTCACTGGCTGTCTAGAGAGCTTCTCTGGTGAAGATCTCAGAGTGGGACTTCTCTTGCCATCACTACGTGTAGAATGGTATGGAAAATAGCGGGGAGCCTGGTTCTAGCAACATACAGACACATCTGGGAGTCCCAGTGCTGCCACTCACTATCTGGGTGGCTTTGGGCTAGTTGCTTTAGCTCCCTAAACCAGCAAGGCCAGGACACCGTGAAACAGAATGGACTCTGGCCATGGTGCTAGCACAGCCTCTTCAAGGCTGAACCGTGGGAAGATGGAGCATTCACACTGTAGGGCCCAGAATAATTGAGGTCACCAAGGGATACTCAGGGGACTCAGGGCAGGACTGTTTACCACCTGGTATGGAGGTATTTCAATATTTTGATCATCAGTTTGGCTGTATGGGTGTACACCAGCTGAATATCATTATAATGCTGAATTCATCTTGGATTTGAACTTCTTGCTGGTTTCTTTTCTTTTGTTCCTGACATATTCTGTTACATTCCCACTATTCTTGATTTGCCTCTCAGGTAGGGGAGGGGGCTATCTGCAATGATCTTAGCAGTCTCGGTGATTAATAACAGGGCTTCTGCTTTCCTGTTAAATGGCAGTTCCATTGGGTCACTTCCATTGTTGGCAAACACTCCTGGGTCCAGTGATCTGTTGGGGAAGTGGTGTTTTCAACTAAAGGGTCCAGCATTCCAGAAGCTGTGGCACCTCTGCCCTGGTGCTGCAGTCCTAAGTCAGGCCTGGGGCTTTGATGCTTATCTGGCTTTTTAATTTCCTGGTGATTCAATAAACAATGCTCCTCACCTCTGGGTCCCTCTTCAGTACTGAGACCATCAGAAGGCTTGTCTGGTTGTGATGAAACCTGCCCCCAGGACTTTTAGCTTTTTACTCCAGCTTCTGAAAGCCCTTTTCTAGGCTTGAGGTGCTCATTTGTGGTTTCAGTAATAGAGTTTGGACCTTCAGTGTCTCTTCATTGCCCAAGACTCTCTATAGCTATTAATGGTGCCCCAGTGAAATCCACAGCTTTTCTTGTACCTTATCTTTCTGCTTCTAGCATCACATTTTCCTGCTTCCTCAGAGAGCTGAAGGGTCTGTGGTGTTCATCGCTGGGCCCTCGGGATGGACTTCATGGGTTTTAGAATCTATGAAGTTTATCTCAATTTGATGACACCTGCTGCCCTCACCATGCATAAGTCCTTCTTAGTGAGGCAGCCTGATGCCATTCTATGAGCCTGGACTGTGTCCAGCTTTGTAGGGTTCTTATGGCCACTGGCTCTGTGAGTCCTGGAGGCTCCTCCAAGAGCATGACTGTGACCCCAGTGGCAGGCAGGTAGGCCAGAGGCTTTTTGTCACCTCCTGCCAAAATGGAGGTGACCTGAGGCCGAGTTCCCTCTCTCTTCCTTTTCATTTCCCTGTGACTGTTCTTAGGTTTCACAGCATCTATGGCCAGGCAAAGAGCACTGATTTAGAGGAAGCTCCACACCAGAACTTCTGCCCCAAGGCCGCCTCTGCTGGCCTAAAGAGTCCTGGTTATGTGATGGAAATGGCTGTGTACAAAAACACCTTCATTACATGCCCATCTGGGTGCCATGATGCCAGTGTCCCTAAGGCAGCTGTGGTAATGTCTGTCTCAGCCACTCAGTCCAGCCTTGCCCTTCTTCCCTGCAAACAGCCTCTCTGGGCCTCTGACACTCAGAGCACAAGCACAGCCAGCACTTCTTTTCTGGCCCAAACTGGTACTCATTTCTGGAAGCACCTCGGTCTTCTTTTTCCTCCTTCCTGGACTATCTTTCTGCAACTGCTACCTGGTGCCACACTGCCTGGGACATGTGCTCACTCAGACCCTGGGATGAGTGCTCAGAAAGACAAAGGTTGGGTGGGCTCCCCAGGTTGCCCTTCACCCCCAGGCTCTTGCCCCCTCTAATGACGCCTTTGGTTTTCTTTGCAAAGTGCCCACTCATAGCTAGGATCCTTGGGGAGATGGGCAATCAGTGCACACACAGATGTCTGCTCACCCCTTCTTGGTCTTCCATGGGCATCAGCCATTCATGCTTCTTTCCTTTCTCCCAGAAAGCCAAGGCTGCTCAGCAAAGGAAGAGACTGATTCATCAGGGCTCTCTGGAGGTGGTGAAGGAGGTGCTGCAGGAACTTCTGGAAGAGTGGAGGTTGCCTCATTCCAGAATCCCTTACACAACATCCCAGTGACAGAGAGCTCATTACTTCCAAGCAGCTCTGACTGCCTTCGGCTCACTATCCACAGTGGGAGAATTTTGCCTGGTGCACATCCAGCTCCTTCCTAAGTCATTACTGCCTTGGCACTTTTGGGTCTCAGATCAGACCTACTGACACTTCCTACTTCACCCAGGCAGTGCCTTACCCTCTGGGTCAGCATGGACAACTGCTCACTTCAGACGCTGCAGTTTCTCCCCCTGTGTTTGGGGCCACAGATATTCCACCTCTTTCCCCATTGGCAGAGCTGCTTAACAGCACAACAGGACCAAGGGCCAATAAGAGGGGGTTGGCAGACACAACAACTAAATCTTGGCTAAAATCTGAAGCAGAGAAAACCCGGCAGCAGCAGCTACCAAAGCTCCCCCCCAGGAAGATACTGTAGTGCCCCCTGCTGGCTGAAGGAGAACTTGCGTGCAGGTTCAATTTCCTCCCAACTCCTTTCTGAAAAACTTCCACCTTGGCAGCTGACCCCTGATGGTCCAACTTAGAGAATTCTAGGAAGCAGATGGGTCACGTTGTCCATTGATTTCCAAACATGGAAAGATATATACAGGGCTGCTATGGAACATTGTGTCCTTTAACAAAGGCCTCTGGGCTGAAGGGTACTTGGGGGCTGAAATCCAGCCTATATCTTGTTAACAAAGCTGTGTAGCCCAGCCTCAGCCTGGGTCTGGCCACAGGAAGAGGTATCATTTTATAATTGGCCTAGAAAAAGTGTCCCTTTGTGTGATTTGTATATTCTAGGCTGCATCCCAGCAGCCCTGGCACAGAATGCTTTCTTCAAAAGGCAATTTCATTAAAAAAACCAAACAAACAAACAAAAAAAAAACTTCTCTGGCTAAAGGAGAATTTAGAAACCACCTAAAAGATGTGGGAACTGAGGACCATGAAGGGGAAGAAGTCATGCAGTTAATGCCAGGGCAGAGCTCAGATGCCAAGTCCACCTTCTCCACAGCAGTTCTTGGCACTGCACTGGGCTGGTTTTTATCCCAAGGCTCTTCTGAAGCATCCTGGCTTTGCTGATCCTCCCCTGCTCAGTCCCATCAACTTCTCCCTGAAACCAAGCTACTCTGCATGATCCTACTGTCCTAGCTAGGATCATGGCACAGTGTTTGCCCAAAAGGGGGCATGGTCAGTCAGTTCGTTGACCCAGTCTGTGCGATTTCCTACAGGTACCTCACCCAAAGGGATGAGGGCAGACGTGCGGAAGGACAGAATGGCGAGGAACTAGAAGGGGCCACCAGACAAGGTGTTGAACTAAGACAGGGAGCCTGAAGTGAAGTGGCTCAGCTACTGTGCAGATGGGGCCTGCTTTGCAGGTGCAGCCCGCCGGGGTGTCTGTGCCACGCCGTAAGGCACATGGGCAGCCACGGTGCCCATCTCCTGAGCCCCAGCCACGTGGAACATCTGATCATCAAAGAAGATATGTGGGCGAATCTTCTCCAGGAGGGGGCCCTTGGGTGCTCCAGCTAGGAACAAGGCCTCATCCGTCTCCAGGCCCCAGCTGCGCAGGGTCTTGAGAGCTCGAGCCCCAGAACTGGCTGCGCTGCGTGCTGTCACCAAGTAGGTGCGAATTGGGCATTCTAGCCGCAGGCCCTTGGAGTAGAACTTCTTCTGCAGCCTACCCAGTGCCTCCAGGAAGCCCTTTAAGGGGCCCTATGAAAAAGTAAGGGAACACTGTGAGCTCAGCCTCCCCAACAAGTGCTCCCCTCCTCTCCCTGAGGCACTAGTATCCTCCTTGTTTGGTATGAGAAAACTTTTCAGGATCCCTAGATCTCTCGGGTAGTTTTGCTGTGCCTGCTGGGGTTCCTGCGTGCATCAGTGGGGCTGTAGGTACCTCAGTCTGGAGTCTGTCTTACTGAGATTGGGGCTGTGCCAGAATAACTGTACCAGGGCAATTGTTAGTGTGCATATCTATCCAGGCCCCCATCAGCAGGTGTCTGTCTGGCAGCTCTGTAAGCATGGCCTTCTGTGCCCACCAGAAGGGAAGATATTAAAATTAGTAACTATGGCATGGACACCCTCCAGCTGTCAACATCTGGGACACAGGGGACAATGTGTATCTGGTGAATATGAACCTGCCCCTGGGCACACAGGTGGCTCAGGATGTCAGACTTAAGCGCTCTGAGGGCAGGGAAAAGATTTGTTTCTCTACAGTGCCCAGAGCAATGAAGCTTAACCCAATGAAAAGTCCCAATTCTTCAATTCTATACAGTGTGATGAGACATGAGTTAATGAGGATATATGAATTAAGAACTGGAAGATGATGAAGACTGCTTATTTCTAAAGTAGCTGGGAATAAGTTGGGCTTCTAGGCTTAGAGACTTCTGCCTTGCTGGATGACCCAGAGCAAGCAGGAGTCCTTGGGCCTCTATTGACCACTTAGTGGGAAAATAAATTGTCTTGCTCTGAGAAACTGATTTTTGGGGAAAATTCAAACTGGAGCTCCCAGGAAGACTGGAGAACCCCACAGCTCCAACCCCAAGAAATTTTCAACAAGTATTAAGACATGTTCCATTCTCAGAGGCCCATTGAGCAATCTGAGTGTGACTGAAGTCCCTGATCCCACTCACCAAGGCATAGCAGGAAGTGGCCCAAGCATACAGTCTGTCCCAGCGCCCCACCCCATGCCCCAGCCAGATGTCCCTGCTCCAGTGGGCCTGCCCCTGTGGGGTGCCAATCCAGTTCTTCCTCCTCCAGGAAGGGGAACGGGAGTTTCTTCAGGAACAGGAGCTTACTCAGAGGTGATACCAGAGAGGAGTTGAGGGATCCAGAGACAGGATGGGGGATTCAGAGGGAGGAGGTAAGGCCTTTGGAGAGCAGTGGGAGTTTCCGACAAGATGTGGGGACTTAGAGAATGAGAACTTCAGAGAAGGGGTGGAGACCTCAGAAAGGGGATTAGGCTCCAGAAAGGAAGGAGGACTTCAGGAAGGGACAGAGACCTCAGAAAAGGGATTGGAGCTGCAAGGAAGGGGAAGAGGTTCAGAGTGGGGCTCAGAGAGACCATGGAGACTTCAGTGAGGATGATGGGGACTGAGTGAAGGGGTGGGAGCTCACTGAGGGGGCTGGGGCCAAGTGAGAGGGACGAGGGATTTAGGATAGGTGAGAGGACCTGGCTAGAGTCTGGGCTGAACCCAGGTTTGGTTCTGACCAAGGCAGGTTCTAGGGAGCCACCTTGTTCTTCTCAGGGGTTCTGGGACGATGTAGTGCACCTGAGCCAAAGGTTTGTTCTCATGAGCCTTCTCATGCTCGAAGAATCTGTCCAGCCCATGCGCCTTGACAATGCGCTCTGACTCGTCTGAGAAGAGCACAGCATCCCCATCGAAAGCCACGCGCAGTTGACTCTGGGACACAACGACATCCCTGCTGGGGCTGAAGATGGTGGCAGCTGCAATCCCTGGGCAGAGAGAAGCAAGCACTGTCTGTCTTCAGAGCAGGCAATAGGGACTCCCTGGGTGGTGCAAGAGAGGGCTGTCTCAGGCTATGCCAGAGAGGGTTATCTCAGGCTACGCTAAACCCACCTGCTCTCCCCCACCAGGACAGAGGGCAAGGTTAATGAGAGCTAGTGTTAAAAATATCTAAAAACCAGTAGTTAGGTCATGGACATTGGCCATAGGAGTAGACCAAGCTGTAGCTTCAACATTGGGTGCTAAGGGCCCTCACCTATGTGGAGAGGTCTGGGACAGTCCTGGAGGCAGGAGGAGGCTCAGGGCAAGAGCTCTTTACCAAATAGTATGAAGGAATTTTAATACCAAGAAAAATCATGCTAGGGATCAGCCAAAGAGCTGGTCCTGGGAAGAAGAGTCCACCAGGCCCTGCTCTCCTGCTCAGGGCTCCTCACAGACCCCTGATATGGATCTACGGAGGGTCTGGAAAGGAGCCCTTTACTCTGGCTAGCCCTGGTCACTCCCTCGAAGTTACTCACCTTCTCTGGGCCAAGATAAAATTAAGGTCCTTATGGCTCTGTCTGGGATTGAGATTCCAGGCTGCATTAGGGGTGGGATGAGTGTGGGCACCATGTCTATAACCACAATGGTTCCCAGGTATGCCCTACTCAGGGCAGGTTGGCCATTCAGGGTTCCATGAAACAATACAGGTGGCCCTAGGGGGTGGTAGCACAAGCTGCCTTTGACTGTGTGAAGTCTCCATAACTGGGACTTCTCTGTGGGAACCCAGGCTAAAGGCTAGAGCTGCCCTGGACACCAGAGCACCAGTGCTAAGAGGCTGGAAACCTGGCAGCTTGTCTTCATCTCTCTGAAGGCCACTTCTGTCCTGATGTTTGGAATCCAGGATCATAGAGGCAGGGCTCAGCAGAGCTTTAGGAGGAGTGAACAGTACAGGCCTCACAGCAACCTCGCTAGCCTGAGGATGCCAATAGCAGGGCAGCCCCTGGGCATCAGGCTAGGCTCCTTTTCAGCTCTGCTAATGCCAAAGCCAAGGTGACCCAGAACCATCTGACCCTGAGCAGGGCCTCCCTCCAGACCACTCTCCTGCTCCCTAGCCTGAGGTCAGGTTACAGGCTCACAGAAGCATGCCTACATGTCAGCACTCAGGCCTCAACCAGGGAGTGTGACATCTGCCTAGGGAAATGGCTCCTGGGTCCTGATTAAAGAAGCCTTGTGGAGCTCCCAACAGCTCAGGAGAGGGAGGCGTCAGGAGAGTGGCCAGGCTTACAGGCAGGAGAAAGCAAGAAAGAGGAAGAGAAAAGTGGATATGGATCCTGCCACTAGTGTTCAGCCTGGGGAGTCTTCTCAGGCAGCCAGGCAGTCCTTCTTCCTCTGTGGCCTGTGTGAGTTGGATACACACCCAATGGGGAGGACTGAGTCTATCCTGGCCACCATAGTCTCCCCTTGAAAAGGGCTCATAGAGGGAACTCCCCTTTGTTGGAACTTGCCCCTGGATTTCCTGGCCTCACTTTAGCTCTGGCCAGCCCAGCTGCTGGAGATGCTGGCCATTTCCTGAGCCCATCACTCTGGCTGGACCGGATATGGATCCCCAGTCCCAATGGCTCAAAAAAGGGTAGGAACTGCCCATGATCATACAGGAAACAGAACTCTCACTGACCTGGAGGAATCTTAGAAGGAAGTAGCTTTCTGGGCTGTAAGGAGGGTTTCCATGGAAACAGAAGGTTGGGTAATGCTGATGAATAAATCCATCTTTAACACAGTAGAGCAGGAGGTGGGAAAGTCGAATAGGTGGGGCCTTGTTTTCAGACTTTATAAACAGATCACAGGAGTTTAGGCCCAGGCCCCTCTCTAGTTACCATAGCAACTCCCAGCACCTGTATAGTTTTAGGACCCAGGCCTCTCACCTCTTAGACCACTTTGCTAGACTTCCTATATTTTCCCTCCTCATTCTGACTTACCCTCATCAATGGCTTCTCGCACTTTTTCTGCATCAGCTGACAAGTAGAGGTTGGTGTGATAAGCCTTGAGGTAGCAGATGGGGCTGTTCCCTCCTGTCATGCAGAACCTCTCGATGAACAGATCTGGGGAGGAGGCAGAGAGCACCCAGGTGAGGCCAGGGTCAATCCTCCAGGTTTTAGAATGGATTCTCTGTGCTTAAGGAGTGCCATCTTGGATTTGTGTGGTGGTGGGCAGCAGAGTGATTCTCTGTGACTTTAGGCCAGCATTTCCCTTCTGAGCCCCTTCACCCTTCATCAAAGACATGGGGATGAAACTTCCCAGCTCACAGAAATTCCCTCTTGTTAGGGAATCAAGATGCTATAGACTGCGGGACCTATAGACACCTGACCCAGCTGTCAAACAGTTAGTTCCCATGGCTGCCAAGGGTGTAAAATATTTGCTCGTCAACGGCTGCTATTGTTTTAAGTGATCTATCACTACTTCATCCCCTTACCCAGAACCCCTGTCCTCCTCACAGCTCACAGTCCACAGTCCACAGTCCACAGAAAGGTGAAATGCCCAGCACCACAGAGGTCTTTCAGGGTCAGCTCCAGCACTATCTACTTGGCGCGTGTGGACTGCTCAGCATCTATCACACAGGCGATTAAATATTTTTAGTATCACTTCTGCTCCCATAAATTTGAAATTAATATTTAAAACATGCCAACTGGTGGCTGGTGGCATAGCTCAGTGGTAGAGCCCATGCTTTTACACACAAAGCCCTGGATTCAATCCCTAGCACCCCAAATAAAGAATTATTAAAGTAAATTAAATAAAGCCAACTGGATTAGCTTGTTTCCTTAAAACAAGGTCTTAGAAATCTGTCTCTCTCTCTCTCCCCAAACTGGATTTCTCTGCTTTTCCTTGTTTTATATTCAGAAAGCAGAGAAATACAGTTTGGGGGCCGCCAGGGAGAGGGGGAGAGAGAGAGAGAGAGAGAGAGAGAGAGAGAGAGAGAGAGAGAGAGAGAGAGAGAGAGAGA